AATGTGGACTCATACTGACATGTTGCAGGCATCTTTTAAAAATCTACCTTACACTGATGTTCTCCAGTCACTAACTTGCTCAGATATTTCAGGTTTAATGGATTGTTTTTAACCTTGTTTTTAACCTATTTTAATTTCTCTTTTTACATCTTGTTTTGTTTACTGAAATAAGGAATTGCTCCATTATAGAATACCTCCTCCAACAGTGAAGAATGGGAAATATCACAAACATCAGAAGGACAATTTTTAAAAAAAGTGGAACAAAGGGCACACAGAAGCAAGAGTTGCAAAAATATGGGTGTCTGCGTGACATCACATGTTTCATGCTGTCCTCCAATCACTATCTCATTGTGACTTGTTCTGGATGCCTAGAGACTGAAAAATACAGAGAAAAGCAAGTGCCTGCCTGTGACAGGAAACTGAGTGCTGAACTGGAGAAGAAAATCTAATCTATTGTCTGTTCTGGAGTCGCATGTGACACCCTCAAGGCTTAGATGCAACCTCCAAAGTCCTTCTAAAACCTGCCAAATTTATTTCGGGGTTATTTATTTAAATTACTTCTAGATCACTCATTTTTTGGAGGATCCTTTGGCAGGTTATAAAACCACCAAAAAAAACCCAACAACTTTTCTTAGGAGTAAGTCCCAGTAAATTTAATTGTCCTCCCAAAGAAGCATTCATAGAGTTTTTGAAGAGCAAATCTAACCTTTTGCCCTGACCAAAATATGTCTTTTTAGTTTTGTTTATGAAGAGGAGAACCACCTGACTATTATTTTTTAATTTATTTTAAAAGTGTGGTACATACAACTATAACACTAAGAGGTTATACAGGGGGGAAAAAAACTTAGATGTATTATAATGATTACAATTTACTAAATGTGAAAAAATGTGAAAAAAGATAAAAAAACCTTAACTGACAAAAAAGAAAGAAAAGATCTATGTAATATCCATTGGTGTCAATATAATTCAATCCAATTCAATGTTTCTTAACACATGGATCCATTGATTCTCCAAATTTGGATAGTCCAATTCTTTATTCCACAATTCAGATATATAACTAATATTTTACTTTCAGTTTTTAAAACATTTCTGGTAAAACTGGGCTTTTGGTTTCTCTTCAAGCACTCCATCTCTTAAGGTACCTAAAATTGCAGCTCCCTCAGAAGCTGCTGAAGGATCTGGGCCATACTGTTTATTCAATATGTGTTTCAGTTGCATATGTTCCCAAGCAAATATTGTGAATAAATCAGAATGCAGTCTCTCAAAGTCTTTAAAACAGCCATTGAAATCAACTTATTTAAAGTATTGATCCATTGTTTTACCCAGGCATTCCAATAAAACATCTTCCCCACTGTCTTCAAATTTGAGTTATTTCACAATGTCAATTTCTCATGTGATTTGGGTTCAAAACATAATCACTTACCTATTGATGACCAAATGTGCTTGGCATCTTTCAAGGTTAAAGGCAAAGATCCCTATTTAATATATCTGGATTCTAAAACATGTCAAGATTTCACAGGTGTTACATGCTTCGTCTCCAAATAAGCCCAAAGAGGGGAAAATTCATAAAAGAGTATCTTACCTATTACAGCAAAATGAATCAATAAAAATGATCTGTAACAATAGTGGAAAATATTTTGTTGCAGTAAACTGTAATTATTTCTTTTCCCTTTATATTTTACAATAATATTATTTTATGACACTTTCTCATATAATGCTCAGTCTGGAGCAGAGTGATTAATTTGATATTGAGGCTGATGCTATTTGGGGAAGAAATGTGCGGACACCTCACAATATATACCTTGTGTAGCTGAGATTTCTGAAGGCAAATTTGCCTTGGGAATAATTTTCCTTGTCTAGAGAAAGCCAGATGAGCCAGTCTTAGGGAAGATGAGGAAGACAAAGTAACACCCTTATGGCAACACCCACACTGCAGAAAGTATAAATAGAGACCTGTGTGTATGCCAGCATCTGCAGTCTGTCTTTTGCATCAAGTTGTGCATCTCTGGCTTTTTTTCTTTCTGGCTCTTTGATCTTGCTTCTAAAGCTCATTTATTATGAGTTGCGGGTCCAAACAGACTATGATGTACAGCAAAGGGAGAAGCTCCAGTAGTAGTGGTGGTGGAGTAAGGGTAGCTTCAGGAGCCTCTGGGAGAGGTGCCTCTTCTGCTGTAGGTAGTGTTGGATGTGGTGTGTCTGGGAGGACCTTTTCCAGTGGAGTCTCTTATGGAGTGGGCCTGAGTGGAGGAAGTTGCACTGATAGTGGCTTTGGAGGAAATGTGTTAGGAGGGAGCTATGCATATGGTTCTGGTGGTGGGTTTGATGGGGGCAGTTTCCGCTTTGGGCAAGTTGGTGGTGGCTTTGGCATCTTCAAGGAAGCCCCCTCGATCTCCTGTGATGAGAAGTTTACCATGCAGAACCTCAATGACCGCCTGGCCTCTTACTTGGACAAAGTGCGACAACTTGAGAAGGAAAATGCTGAACTTGAACAGAGAATTAATCAGTGGTATGACCAACAAGGCCCACCTTTTGACCCAAAGGATTATAACTGTTATTATCAAATAATTGAAGAGCTCCAGAAGAAGGTAGGAAAATTGTTCCTCTACAACATACAGCTATATTAATAATCATACTAAGCATGCCATAGGTTAGGAATTGGTGCTTTGTAATTTAATATAGAGATATATATTAGGTTAACTAAGAATAGAGTTGCAATTTGAGGGAGGGGATGATAAGAGTTAGCATAAAGGTTAGGAAATACTATTTGGAGAATGGTTCTTGCCCAAAGCTAGAGAGCCAAGTCTAGATCCACCAGGAGTCTTATGAATGAAGAGAATCAATGACTGGAAGAAGCAAAGGATGAAGTAAGTTCACTGCAGCCCTTCTGGGTAGAGAACACATTAAGACTGGAAAGGAAAACTAAAGACTAAATTTCAAGTGCAATATTGTGACAATTAAGAAACAGCAGGTGGCAAAGTTCAAATAATATTATTCTTTCCCTATTGCAGATTCTTTCTGCCACTGTGGATAATAGTAAGCTTACCCTGGATATTGATAATAACCGCATGACTGCTGATGACTTCAGGTTGAAGTGAGTCCCACTTGAATCAAAAAACAACAACAATAGCTTACATCCTGAGACTATATACCACTAACACCATCAAACAACATCTGCCTATCCCAGGTCCTTGGGAAGGACTTGATAGGTAGATAACCTGCCAAATCCAGTCTAAACATCTGGCTGACTGTGCAACCAACAATAATAATTTATTAAACTTGTATAATGCCCAACTCTCAGCGACTGTGGGGGGCTCACAACAATCCAACAAAGAAATTACAATAATATCAATAAAACATAAGAAACAAAGATAAAACATGAAACAAGTGCCTTTTAAAATTTCCTTTTCCATAATGGGATAACTATCAAAGGGTCCCCAAATGAGCACTCCATTCCAGAACAATACAATGAAGCAAAAGAGGGAATCCTCTGTATACAAATCTGCTTCAGAAGTATAAGTTTTGCTAATGGTTCCTGTAGATCTAACAGTGCTTTTTTTCTTCCTTACCTATGATACAGGTATGAAACTGAGCTGGCTCTTTGGCAGAATGCGGAAGCTGATATCAATGGATTGCGCCAGGTCCTGGATCAACTGACTCTCTGTAGATCTGATTTGGAGGCACAACTTGAATCCCTCCGGGAAGAGCTGTGCTGTCTCAAGAAGAATCATGAAGAGGTGAGTTCCCTTTCTCCACATTACCTATATTTCTATTACCCCTGGTAGGCGTGGGACTGAAAAAATTCCTACATTCTGATTGAGCATCCACATTAATTGGAGCTTCATTTGCAGGAAATTAAACGTCTGAAGAACCAGACTTGTGGTGATGTTAGTGTGGAAGTTAATTCTTGCCCAGGTCCAGATCTGAAGAAGGTTCTGGAAGAAATGAGATGTCAGTATGAAACCATGATTGAGAACAACCGTAAAGAAGTTGAGCAGTGGTATGAACGCAAGGTATGTTGTTCCTAAATACAGTAAAATAGAGTTCACTCAATCATGTCTATACTGTAACAGTTGACAACTGAGTAATTACTTATGCATTGCCAGAGGAAAGGCATCACTTAAGGAGGAGCACTCTGATTTGCATAAAATTTGCATGTTCTATTTTCCGTGTAATAAATGCACACTGATAATCATTGAAGTAATGCCATATATCCATCATGGAGAAAACTGGACCAAGTAAACTATGTGCCTCCATGACTTTGCTGTTGAGGGCCTACTTCAAGGTGATTTGTCCCCCTTCTAGATGTCAATCCAGCACCTCTTCAAACAGCATATTATTAAGTAGGATACATCTCACCCTACTATCAAGTGGTAGTTCTGAGCTAAAATCTGACCCCTAGGGATAAGTTTCTTAGCTCTTCCTCCTATCTAAATATTGTTAAGTGGTTTGTAGAGACAATGAGACAGAATAAGCAAGATAATCCTGTTTCACTCATCCTGGGATACTATGTCAGTCTGTAACCACTTTCCCATTCAGGAGTCCACAACTGTTTTGGTTGATGGCTGAACTTCATTACATTTTTAAAAATATTTTTGGCCTCCAAAGACTGCAGAGGGCATGGTGATGATGTGGTTATCCCATCAGGAGGAGCAGAGTCAGAATTTTGAGCCTGTTTTGGGAGTACTGCTTGTGGGATATCTTGGGCTGCTTTCAGAAAACTCCAGTTATATATTAGGCCTACCAGAGGCTAAATGAATCTATTCTGAGCTCACCTAGAATGGGAAAAGCCTGACCAGAATGCCAAGCCTACCTTTGGTGATGCCTTCCTGTTTAGAAAGGACAAATCCAAGCTGGACATGAAACAAAGATACAGTACCTGGTGATCATGGTAATGGAGGGCTGACCATGTAAACAAATATCTTCTCCTTTGGAGAGAATGATTCTTGAGAACATTCCTTATGTACTTAGTAATGAGAACATGAATATAAATAAATTTATTTATTTATGCTTATTTATGTACTGCTAACTCTAATGACTCAAGGGAAATAAGGAAATCCTCCATTTAACTTACTACTTGCTAGTTTGGCATAGTGGTTAAGGTGCTGGACTAGAAACTGGGAGAACATGCATTCTAGACCCTCTTAGGCATGAAAGCCTTCTGGGTGATTTTGGGCCAGTTATTCTTTCTCAGCTCAGCTCAGCTCACCTCACAGGATTGTTGTGGTTGAGAAAATAGGAAGTGGGAGTATAATGTATGCTGCCTTGAGTTGTACAAAATAAAGATGGGGTAACATCACCATCACCATCACCATCACCATCACCATCACCATCACCATCACCATCACCATCACCATCACCATCCTAAATGAATATAGTAAGCCTATTTTAATGATTAAAACTTATTGTTTCTCAACATACTTTAATAAATAAGACAACACTTAAAGAATCCCCCTTTTCCATTCCTTAAAAGTATCTCCCCTTGCCATTATTTGTCTTCTTCCAAGAGTCAAACTCATCTTGATGTTGATAGTTTCCTCAGTAAAGAAACTGCTTCCCAACTTCCCCATTTATTTTTAATGTCTTTTCAGGTGGAAGAAGTGAATCGGGAGGTCTGCAACAGCAGCAAAGAGGTTGAAGATTGCAACAACCAAGTTGTGGACCTAAAACGTCAACTGAAAACCTTAGAAATTGATTTGCAGGCTCAACTTTGCCTGGTAAGCATCTCTCTCTTATATGCACAGTAAGCTTTAGCTTCTGATCTTCTTCCTGTGTGAACTAGTCTGTTAGCTGTGCCACCAAGTATAAAGTTCATTTTATACTTGGTGGTACAACTCTTAAGATAGATTTTTAATAGTTTCTCTACAGCTATCAAAGATTGCAGCTCTAGAAGATTATTATTTTGAGGTAGGCATGCAGATCTGTAGGGCCAGTCAACTCATGAGACAATTCCATATTAAGATCACTATTGACTGGGCCAGCAATAACCAACAGGATGTTTGAAGGGAGTACAGTACAGGGGAAAGATAGAAGCAAAGGAAAGAGGTAGATCAAAAATTGGGGAACCTGCAACAAAAGGAGTATCAAAAGTAACTGTGATGGGATGGGGGAAGGAAAAGATTTCTTGCTATGCTATAAGTAATTCACTCTAACATTTGTACATATAATTGCCAATAACTTCTGTAAAGGGTTTGTCCATATACATTTGTCCATATACACAAATATCAAAGCACTGTTAGTGCCAGAGATTATCCTTTTCTTTGGAAGAACATAGTCTATAGTCTGTAGGACACATTCTTGAATGTTTTGGCATTGTTGTTCTATTGGTAACCTTCACCTTTTAACTTCTTAAGAGGGAGTCGCTGCAAGACTCTTTGGCTGAGACTGAATGTCGCTATAATACCCAACTGGCTGAAATACAGAACCAGATATCTTGTGTGGAACAGCAACTGGCAGAGTTGAGAGCAGAGATGGAGTGCCAGAATCGAGAATATAGAGAACTTCTAGATGTCAAGTGTCGCCTGGAACAAGAGATCCAGACGTATCGCTGCCTATTAGAGGAAGGGCAGCAAGACATTACGTAGGTGGATCATGGTGATTTCAAACATTTTGGGTTTTCTAATATTTATTCTTTCCTGAGTAGTCCCATAACTCTTTTGAGGCAGGGTTAGCTGTGCCATTAGGCAAAGGGAAGCAGCTGCCTTCAGCAGTGAGTATGGGGTGTAATTGTCATGTATTTAATTTATTATTGTATTTTTACTGCCAGTGAGCTGTGTGTGAGATGTTATTCCTTATATATTAGAGCAATCTGCCTAACTTGGATTATCATGGACTTTCTGGGTGAGGGGTGGGGGGGCATTTGCTGCCCTGCAAGGCTAGTTGAGATGAAGATTAACAAATAACTTAAATTGTGAAGTGCACATTGGGTCATGGTCACATTTTTAAAGCGTTAACATACGAATGCCTCAAAAGAGTTGGCTTTGTTTTAATTTTAGCAAGTACAAAATCTCATAAACTGACAGTTTTTGAAAATCAACACTATAGATTAACTATCAAATTCAAATTTTCTGGCATATTCTATCAGTTTCTCTAGTAGTTTATGATTCAGTTTATGAGAACAATAGCTCTTCCTATTCCTTATTTCCTATTTCTTCAGGTTTTCTCCTTAGAATAATCTGCCCTCCCACTCTCTGGCCTTCAGAATCTGCCCAACCCACAAGAGGCCACCTTAAATATGCACAGGGCACATTATGTTTACATTATACTGCTATTACATGATAACTAATCACGAATTAAAATGGAACTGTCAGACGTATGCATCAGCTCCTTCATAATATGTTTGAGTTCCGTATTCTTTGGGAATTTGTAGAAGCATAGTCCTTTCAGTTCGGATTCAGTTAATGTTCTGGAAACTGTTCTTCTACCTCCAGATTAAGAAGGTAGTATGTCATTAGGGTTGCTTGCCTTTCCTTTGAGTGGTGGACCTTTGGGGGAGGCACAAGCTAGGCAATGTTATTCCTGTCTTCTGTAAATTGTGGCATGCCATGGGGGAGATAGAGTGGTTTAATAAATTGCATTGGCGTGTTGATATGTGGTATCAATCTGTACTGCGATTACTTTGTAAAATAGCAGGAAATATTTTGTGACTATCATAACAAAAGCCAAACCATGAGTTATGTTATTCATGCTTTTTAAAAAGTAAACTTGAATTGGTCACTTTAATTTTTGCAGAAAAAGTGGCTTTGGGGCTCAATATAGAATCTACTTCTGATCTGGATTGGGGCCTCAGACCAATTTCCTGGAAATTCTGCCCTGTCTCTCGTCTGTTGTTCCAGACTTCCACAGCACCATTTACCCTACATGCACTCAGTCAGACATAAAGATAAAACAGAGTAACTGTACAGTATATGGTCCATCCTTAGTTGACTATGTCTATGTTTCAAATTCATAATAAAAATACATTTTGATTTTGGGAACTATAGAACATGCCTACTTTTTCTACTGTACTAGAAGTCACCCAAAATTTTATATGAGCTAGAAACATTGGTTATTATGAATTTATTCCAAATGTGGCATATACAGTACTTGCAATTTGACATTTGAAAATCTGAAAACCCCAAATCTAACCAGTTCAACCTCCCCCACTTTCTGCTTTTAATGTCACTAAAATGTTGCCCATTCTCCCACTGGAACTTGCCAATCAGTCTCTGAAATCCAAACTCTGGATTCTGAAACCTTGGAACCTTGCATCAAATTTTGTCCAGTCCTATTTCATACGATTTCATAATGGAGGCTGGATGATGTAATGGGGAATAGGAATAGCCTTGAGGAACAGGAGGAAGAGCCACAGCCAAGGCAATGGTCAGTTAAATAAAATCTGAGTCTGGGGCAGAAATGTAATTTGAGAAAGCATCTCAGACATGACCTTCCCTAGTTCTCAGATAGATAAAGGAAAGAGGGAGAAGTGCATTCAGATTTGCAAGATTCTGTTACTATAACCTTATAATAAAAGTACTATTAGCTTGCGTGTCTTTGGTTTCCAAGTTTGGTATATCTTGGAGGGTTGACATATGTGCAGCCTGACCACTATGGGAGACAGGATTCTGGACTAGATAAACCTTTGATCTAATCTAGCAGATCTCTTCTTCTGTTCATATAAACTCACCCAAGGAGTCCTCTGCCCTTGTTCCTTTCCTACCCTGCAATCATATACCATAAAAACAGTACAAATAGTTTTATTTAGTACTATTAGTATATTTTAATAACCTTTCTTGACCTCATTCAAGGACACTTTCCCCTTTTTTCCAACAATAGTCAGAGCAGCAGCACTTCAGGAGGTGGAGCCTGCAAACAGACAGGAGGTATTAAAATCATCTCTCAAGCTTCTGCCAGGTTTTCCAGTCGGACATGAAAGGTAAGGGGAATTACAGTGTCCCTATGCTAAAGATGGAAAAATATATCCTTAAAACAAACATTTTGGTATATTTGTAAAAGTGCAAAATGGACCTTTCTTGGAAAGGTAATACAAGCTATTTTAGCTTGGCTTTGGTCTATCCAGTCTTCTACTATCCCTGTAGACTCTACACTACTCTTATTTCGTTAATATTTTTTTTATTGATATCCAGACTTGGTTTTTTGAGCCCCTGGGCCATGCACCCATAGATCATATCATTGTGGTTATGTTCTTGGTTATCTGAGATTTATTCAGATTATCATGTCCCAGTATACCTCAAATTTATCTGAACTTGTTCTGAGTGAACATGTAACAGACTGAGCTATGTGTATATACTCATTTACAGATCATTATGCTATTCCTCTCTCAAGTTCCTTACTTTAGGGTACATTTATAAAATACTTTCAAACTGAAAATCAATCAAATTAACCAGATCAGTCTTTAGCTTGTATCTCCTGGTACCTTTTCAGGAGGGGGTACTTCAGAAGGGATCTCTTAGTTACTTTCTCAGCATCATCAGCATCGTTATGAAGGCAGGTCATATTTGTTAATTTGAGATATTATTTCCATTTCAACCTACAAAATTTTCTGTCTTCTTTTCTTTTTTTCCTCTAGGATACAGCAGATGAATGAACAAAAAGAACTTCAACTGATACAGCCTTCGCAACTCTATTCTATGCATCTTTTGGGTTCACTTAGCAAAGGGCAACCTTCCTTCTAGCTACTGAACACTACTCATGGCAAATATCCATCAGTGGGCTGTCTTTAAACTAGCAGATTAACCCACTTCTAAACTTTGGATATGACCATTAACTTGTGCATTTCTTAACCAGCTCTGTGGTGTTGCTCTTGGACGTTCTGCTGAAAATGGGGTTTCAATAAAACTGTGCTTCTAGCTGACGCAAATCATACCTGTCCCTCTGTGTCATGAACTTATGGATTGGGAGTTCTGTTTTTTGTCCTTTCAAAAACAGATTTCTGCATAATTGGTTATAAAAACTGCAAAACATGGTCAGTGAAGGTTACCTAAACATTGGAATAAGTGCCAGTAATTGCTATTTTATTCCTTCTGGAAGAAAGATAAAAACAAGGCAATAATGCTGGATAGCTTGTCATCAGGACCAGGTACCCTTGGAGAGCTATCAGGGAATCAAATACATATTCCAGGAGGACTCAGTGGCAATATGACACTACCTGGGTCTCGTGTAGTAGATGGTTAGGGCTGACATGTCCCCATTTTAAATTTCCCACACTGAAGATATATTGGATGCATTGTGGAAAATGTAGCTAGAGATTCACATGGAGGCCCTCTGTAAAGTCCCCAACACTACAACATAGGGGTAAACATCTCAAGGCCATTGCATCACCTTAGCCTACTGTCAAGATCTCTCTGCAAAGAATCAGAGCTCTGGTGAAAACCTGTCCCTACCTTTTCAGCAGCCTACTATTTTGAACAGGAAACAACTTTTTAAAAGCTTAAAAAAAAGAAAAGGAAAAAAAAAAAAGAAGTGATGCCAGAGATTCAAGAGGTATTCCCACCCAGGGCATAGCAGAGGAAAAGCATTCAGCCTCCTGGTCTGTGGTTTGTACCATAATTCAGTTGGAACCCTCTCATGTACCCACTTCTGGATTTGGTCCCACGCTTTAGGTTGTCAACAATGAGTTCCCTCAAGAAAACATCAACAGAAAAAGGTTACCCCTTTCTGCTATAAAGCCCAGGCAACATTAGCTTCTTTATCATTCATTTTGAGAGAATGTCATTATTCTATATTTTTGTAACATTTCCTTATTCTAATAATTAAGTACTGTAAGATGCCTTGGCTGCTTTGGCAAACACACACACACACACACACACACAACTTTCCTTTATGGATCAACTTCCCCATTTTAAACATTACTCTGGCTATGTAAACAGTATGCCATCAGGAAGTCATGCAAGAAATCTAAGACCTGTTCCTTCTTGTTGCAGAATGCAGGACATGGAATAACAGATATAAGTTACAGGAAGCTAGATTATCTTTAAATGTTAGAAGAATAACTTTATCTTGGCAGTGGAATCAATTACTCAGAGAGGGAGGTAATCTCTCCTTCACTGGATATGTTTAAGTGAAGTTTAGACAGCCATTTGTCTGGGTTGCTTTAATTGGGGTTCCTGTACTGGGCAGGGGGGTTTACACTCAATCATGGTCTAAATGACCTTCTCCAACTCTATGATTCTATGATCTCTCAAGTGAGGAGACTTTAAGTGTTATTTTTATTAGTTAATCAGTATTAATTAAATGTATACGTTACCTGACTCCCAAGAACCCTGAGCAGTTACAGACAAAAAAATGTTAAAACCAAGAAAAAAAAAATACAGTGGTAGACAAAAATGAGGAGAAAAGAAGAGAAAGGTGACAATGGGATGGGAATGAAAAGAAACAAACCCACATAGTCCGAAGGGTGAGGGGTTTCACTCACCCTTGTCAAAGGCCTGGGCAATGAGTCAGGTCTTCAAGGCCCTTTGAAATATCAGCAGGGTGGGGGCTGTCTGGAACTGGGGGGGGACCTCATTTCAGAGGGCAGGGGCTGCTACAGAGAAGGCATGCTCCTGGGATCCCGATAGAGGGCTTTGTTTAATTAAAGGAACCC